TACCGTAGTCGCTCATGACCTTAGTAGTTTATGCGACTTTAAACAAATTAAAAAAAAAAAATATAATTCATAAAAATACTAACAGTAATAGCTAAAATATTATATTCAAGCATATAAAAAATAAAATAAATTAAATAACTTTATAAATAAAGCAGAGAAGAAATTAGCTCTAAATATTACATCCTGTAAAAAAATTATAATTAATCTATATTATTAAGAGAATAAGCAAAATTTTGTGGCCAGTGTATTTATATGATAAAATGAGTTTTTATGGTTGAATTTGGCATCGTTGGAAAAGTCTTGACCTGGAGTTGTGCCTTTTCATGATTTCATATCATTTTTACCAATAGTCAATTTATAATGAAAAGTATTTAGACTACATTCGAAAATGCTTTATCTCTAGATACATACTTAAAAAATGACCTTGTTTCTAGTGAACTATTGACATTTTTGAAGATATAAGCTCATATTGATGTTACACTCATCGAGACCTTACATTTGAGTACCCACATCGATTTTTCATATATTCATGTATATTATATATATGTATATATGAAAAATATATCAAAATGCATGTGGGTACTCAAATGAAAGCTCTTGATGAGTGTAACATCAGGATGAGCTTATATCTTTAAAAATGTGAATAATGAAGTAATGACGTTGTATTTTGTCCGCTGATAATATTTTTAACGATATAAGCTCATCCTGGAGTACCACTCATCAAGACCTTTCATTTAAGTACCCACATCATTTTTTCATATATTTATATATATTATATATATGTATATATGAAAAATATATCAAAATGCATGTGGGTACTCAAATGAAAGCTCTTGATGAGTGTAACATCGGGATGAGCTTATACCTTTAAAAACGTCAATAGTTAAAAAAGTACAGTGCAATTTAACAAAATTCATTAATTTAATAAAGCAAAATTTTATTTATAGTTCACAAGTCACGGCAATCACATGGTGACTGCAAGGTTGCTAATTAGAATTATTTTTATAATCAATTATTTAATTAAACTAATTAAAAAAAAACCCTAACTGTACATTTTTAAAAGCGTAGATTACAAAAAATAATTAGCAGAATATTGACTTGCAAAATTATTGATAATTATTGACAATAGTTGTCAATAAAATAAATATAAATATCTATATCTATATATATAATTATATGTAATATGTATATACAAGTAGAAAATCGTCTTTCAGTGACTAGTTTTGTTTTTTAAAATCTTAGAATAAATTAATTTATGAAAAACTCGGCCTTGACGTCATCCGCCAAAATAGCCGCACGCATCTTCTGATCTTCGCCATCGTCTTCTTGGTTCACCAGAGAGCTCTGTTCCCCGGTATTGATTGCGTCTTCAGGAGCCAGGAATAGGTTCTTGTGCTCGGAGCATTTCTTGTGGTAGTCAGGATTCTCAGGGGCGTGACGGTAGCAAGAGTCACAGACAGTGTCTGTTTTAGAAGTGCAACGGTGAGCTTCGTAGAGGCCAGGACCGCATCGCGAGCAGATCCAGCAGGACTGGAGGTTGTGGTGAGGGCTGTAGGTACCAGGCTTGCATTTGCTGCACTCAGTATCTCGGTCCGAGGTGCAAGGCTTTGTTACTCCCCAACCTGGACCACACCGGTTGCATCTTGCATCCCCACGGTGATGACGAATTCGCGGTCTTCCTTCAGCTACCTGTAAATTTAATTAAAATTGTCAATACATTTCAGATTTTTTTTTTTTTTTTTTTTTTTTTTTTTTTTTTTTCAAAGTTTATTGTACTTATTTATTTGTTTTTTTTTTTTATAGTATACGTGAAAGGGTGAGGGTGAAGGCGAGGGCGAGGGAGATGATAAGTTATTCGGGTCGATTCGTATTATAAAAACGAACAGGTGCGTGAATAAGACGAAGGCCAGCTGACTTTTAAAAACACCTTTACTTGCTTCTTCCGCCTCTATTGCTTCAATTTTTTACATTTATTATTATTATTATTATTATTATTATTATTATTATTAAAATTATCATTATCATTTATTAAAAATGTTAAAAGCGTAAAATACTAATAATAATAATTTTTTTTATAGATATTTTCCTGACGTAAGTCATTGAAATTTTCAGTTTATTGACTATCCAATCTAATACAACAATTAATTCTCTAATTTTTCATAATATTATTGTTGTATTAGACTGGATAGCCAACAAACTGAAAATTTCAATGACTTACGTCAGGAAAATATCTATAAAAAAAATTATTATTATTAGTATTTTACGCTTTTAACATTTTTAATAAATGATAATGATAATTTTAATAATAATAATAATAATAATAATAATAATAATAATAAATGTAAAAAATTGAAGCAATAGAGGCGGAAGAAGCAAGTAAAGGTGTTTTTAAAAGTCAGCTGGCCTTCGTCTTATTCACGCACCTGTTCGTTTTTATAATACGAATCGACCCGAATAACTTATCATCTCCCTCGCCCTCGCCTTCACCCTCACCCTTTCACGTATACTATAAAAAAAAAAAACAAATAAATAAGTACAATAAACTTTGAAAAAAAAAAAAAAAAAAAAAAAAAAAAAAAAAAAAAAAAAA